GCTAAAGGATATATCAATACTAAGAGAGGGAAGCGTGAGAGTCAGTGCTGCCTATTCACCGATCTCATCCAGAGTGCGGAAGTTCAAGGAACCAAGATGAAATGAGAACCCGTTTGATGGAAGTGTTGTATGTATCGATGGCATCAGTTGCGAGGTCAGCGGGCAGTCTGTTGCTCAATAGGCGATGAGAAGGGAAACAAAAGAAGATGGAATACTGTTATAATTGCGCAGATTGCCTTAGTCGTCGCCGCTGTTATAATTGCGTCGCCACTGTTATGATTGAGGGAACGTCGCCTCTTGAGGTAATTGCGTGACAAGATTGTCGCTCGCACGGTTGGAGCACGCCTACGATGACGCTAGCTTAGCCGGTGAGACGGAAAATTGAACGAGCGTGGGAACGATCTTAGCCGCACTTGTTCGTATAGACGCTGAGGCCTCGAAAACGGACGCACACGAGAGGGGGTACGATAGACGCGCGCTAATGACTTAGACGCGAAGGCTGGCCAGCTAACGATTCACACGCAATCACGAGACCCGAGCGACTCCCAACTGAGGCGAAGAGAAAGAAAAGACAAGTGGTCCTCTGTAGGCTCCTTTACGACCGACAAAGGGCGATCACAGCCAGTGCTATGGGTTATTAAGTTAGGGAAAACAGTCACCACGCAGAGGTGGTAGTTTGCAAATGACCATTGTCGAAAGGTGCGCAGTTGGGGCGCGTCTCGGAGTGGCTGAACACTGCTGCGTTGTGGGAAGAAATTGGACTCCGCGTCCCACAGCCATTATGCCGGAGTTACTAGCGCGTTTCTTGCGGGGATTTTTGACGGGCCCGCAACAAATACTGTCGACAGAGTTGAGGGAGCAAATAGTGCTCTTTAGACTGCCCATTTAAAGGTGATTTACCTCTAATATTTGAAGCAACAGTATGACTGACAAGGCAGAGGGGAACAGCTCCATATCGGGAGTGTGACTGCAGAGACCCAATGGGACCTGATTGAGGCCTGTCACCCACAGCGTTTGAAGATATAGAACAGTGCACTAGTGATTACAAACGTAGTATGCTACGCACCTATGCCTCACGTCGAAGCTGATGTTGCATTCATGATGCTTCTCCACCGCAGTTGAGCTAAACCAACTTACACGTAAACAAAATCTTTTTAATCTGGATAGAAGTCATTCTACTTTATTGGGTATGTTCAATTCTGCTATTCCGCTGCATATTCGGTGTCAAATTTGCGCGTATGATTTCCTTTATATGCGATATTGATTGTTTGATATCGCAGGTGTGGCTGCGCTTGATGTGAATGTTGACAAGGTGCATACCTGTCTAACACCCACCATCTCGATTACTGGCTCCAGGAGACTGAGAATCGTTGCTTGGTGGGGGAACGGGTTGCACGGTTGGCGTAGCCATGATAGGCTCAAAGAGTGGGTCAATCCAGTGTGGAGCGGAATGCGTTCCAGCTACCGCCTTGTGTACGCCTGGTATGCAGGATTCCCTACCTAGATAAACCAGTGCTGCTCCTGTGCATGTTGTAGAAGTGCGGGTCGGCTCCGTTGACGAAAGGTGCCTCCCGGTCTTATTCCTTCGAGTCTGTCGGCAGGGAGCCGAGTGGTCTGCACGTTTGCTTTGCAACCACAAGGTCACCGGTTCGAATCCGCGTAGGGGCGGGCGTCCTCGCGGTATACTCAGCCCGCGCGCGACTGGTGGTGGTCGCGCGCAGCGAAGCGCCGTTACGGCGTACAGCTGACACATTATTAGTTATTATTATCCTTCGAGTTTACACTGGATATGGGGTGTGAGGATGGAGCTGTTGGTGGTGCAGCGCAAGCTACCCATGGTCCCTCTGTAGGCGCAGGCGTCCTGTGACTGTCAACGAGAAGGCAACAGTGACAGGCAAATCCAGAACCGGATGCTGCCAACCATGTTACGCACCTGCGACCACGACCAGCCGCGGATAGGAGTTGGCGGGTTTGCACCAATCTGACCAAGGGCGGCGGCAAGCTGATCAACCGGAGGTGCTCTGCCAATGTCAGAGAAAATGCGTGGCACTCATGCTCTACGCCAATCGACCAGTGAGCTTCTAACCCGTAAACCTGTCGTCTTCCATGGCTCGCTTTTAAGGAAACAGAGCCATTGACCTCTCCCTAACCTCCGAAGCAGAATGGATTGTGTGACTGAGTTAGTCTGATCCCTAACCATTGACCTGTCTGGTACGAGTGGATCGAAAGGCACTTGAAAAGTGCCACTCAACATAGTTCAATGAGTCAAGGAGGTACGCAGACCATCGCGCCACGTGAGGGTCCGGTCTCGTTTTGATGGACTGACATAGTGCAGTTAAGATCGGTAGCTGCCGTGAACGAAGTACATGCGTAAAGCTCAGAAACAGAAAGTTACCGAGGATTAGCTCGAAAATAACAAATGAACCATGGGGTGCAAGCTATTTAGAAGAACCTTGAAAATGATGAGAAAAGTTGCAAGATTACTACAAAGTGACACAAGAGATACCCAAGATGCACTGCCCCAAGATGCAAACCACATGCTCACAAAAAGACTCGATGATATCGCCATTTTGTGTACCGGTTTCTTATTTCGTAAACTTCTGGGGTGTTTCCAAAGACGCGTCCTCCTATTGGTCGTAATCATGCGTGCGGCTTACGAATCATCAAAGGAGAAGCCACATACTGCCAACGAAAGATACAACTTTCGATTACCAGTTTAAAGCGTAATTTTGTTTGATTACTTTGATACCCCCAAATCGAGATGTCATCCACCACAAGACCTCATCAAAAACGAACTCTGGCCCAAATACAAAATGTTCACGCAGCTTTACTGTCCGCGCGCATTCGCGGGTTGTGGTCAAGCGCTGCTTTATACAGTCTTAATGTGAGGGTTAAATTGGTGTTTGTACTCGTCTTCTATTTGGCATACACTAATCGCATACTATGAAGGATTGAATGCAGCTAGTGGTTCATTGAAACTGATGTTAACAACAGAACAGGAGTGATAAATGAGACGATAACAAGTGTTTTCAACTTTAGCTAACGTGTACAATGATGAGTGTAAAGTTCAAATACAACTTGGATTTTTTCTCCAAACTGGACTGCCCATGTAAGAGCACGGTACACCTGTTCTCAAACCCTTTTCTCTTTTCCATAAAGAATTTCTACACACATGCGCATCGAACATGTACAGCAGCAGACATCTAACTTTCTTGCTTTGCCCTGTTAGAGCATATCCTAGGCTCCCCAACGTCGACACAGTTCACTTTTGACAGACTTCCGATTAACGAAATGCTATGCTATGATGTTTCTGAACACTGCCAAACGTCTTCCTGCATCTAAACTTTTCATTAGGATTTCAAACCTATTAGTAAGTTGTTTACAGTCTTTAATTTTAATGATAGAGCCTCGGCAACAGGAATACAAGTTTGATTCCAATTGCCCAGGCTCAGGGTAATGTTTAAGTTCATTAGTCTACAGTTTTCTGTTCTCGTCTCATCCAAATTGGTAGTCTAGGCTTCATATCGTCGCTGCAATGATAATGATGATGAATAGAGCTTAGTTCATATGTGGAAAATGATCAGCACAGTGCATTTATTTGACCCCAGTAGGGCTCGAATCCGCAACGTGACTGTTAACAGTTCGTGATTACGACCATTGAACACCGCTGACGATTCATGGAAGGAAAATACGGTCATACACTGTTTTTCCGGGTGAGTGGTGGCTGCGTGAATGACTCCACATGTGACGAATCTCTACTTATACCATCTAAAGGCCCTACTATTCACAAGTAATATAGGAAACCATAAAACACTCTCAGTATAATACTGCATAAGATTAAGCTTAACATAAAGAATTCTCGATGGACGTCAGTGAGTTGAAAGACAATCATAAACTACACAGATAACCAGCCAACATTTGAAGAAAGTATTTGGTGGCTGCTCAAGCATTTCGAAGATTGATAAACATGCAGATTTCAACGAATTATCCAGAAGTGGAGACCTCGGTCGCGTGGTGGTGGCAGAAAGCAATGATGAGTGGAAGCGTTATGTTACCGGTATGCAGATGGCCAATCGAACATCAGGCAGCATTTCGTGGAGTACAGAAAGAAAAGTGAGTGTGCCATCGGAAGAGGATTGGTCAATCGAGCAGCGAGTGGTCTGCGCGCACCAACGTCGATCTCTGCGAGAACAGCCAGCCAACTGAAAAAAGATCCACTGAGTGTGCGGGTGAGAACTCAGGCGCCAGCAGGTCCCAAATGCACAGAACGAACAGACTGTAAGCCTCTGAGTCAAGGTTTGCTGTGGCACCGGGCCAGGGGAAACAGTGTGACCAGATGAACGAGTGATCAACCGAGCCAATCGTACGATCCATGCAGAAGTCAGTAACACAGCACCAGGTAATTTTATAAGGGATGAACATTACGAAAAAGTGCAAAGCAATGGAAATAGAGCCAGCGACATAAGAAAAATACTAAGGGTGAGTGCGTGGAGTGGGCTCGAAAATAGCGTATATACTCTACAAATATTCATGCGTAATCTTAATAAACGAGTTGGTATTCGAGGCCCAGTATACTTGATTTACTGAGGGCTACTCAACAGGTCCTAGTTGCATGAGAGAAAAGGAAACACATGCACACTGTCAAGAAACTCTAAGCGAGACTACCGCTCATCGCAATTGAGAGGTATTGGCACATATACAGGGAATGGAATCATTAGGAGGAAATACCAGTCACAGTCGCCCAAATCAATGAGATGATCTGGTTTAAGCCAGCCGGGTTCCCAGTAGCGATAACAAACCAATGACAATGAGAAAGCAATGAAAGAACCCAATAAACAGAAGCCGTAAATTGCATATATCTAAGCATGTACTTAGGCAGAGTAGGTGGACAAATGTCAGTACCAAGAAGAAAAGAATGATGAATATGCGAAGCAACGGGGCTCAGAGTGTCGGAGGTCGATTTGGTGGTGCCGGGTATGAAATACGCATGACTAACTCGCCTCTGAGGAGAGTGGCGGCAGTACCCCTGAACAAACTCCGTATGCCGCCTTCTCGGTACAACTGACGAATGACATCAACTGGTCCCTTGTACTTCTGCGCAGTCAGTGATCCGCTTTGAACCTGATGGAAAGAGCAGTGATGTGTTTCCGTGAAACGGGTCAATAGCAGAAATAGACGAAAAGGCTGTTCGTAATGACAATAGGAAAGTAAAACGCGAATGAAAGTCTGGAACGCTAAAAGATAAACATGTGATTTTTTATTTATATCATCAGTAAGACAGACAGATAGGAAATATGTGAATAAATGGTTCAAGTGATGAGTAGAAACAAGATCGTAAAAATGTCAGCTGAGTGCAGATTAAGCAAGGCAACCCTCCCATAGAGCACTTCACGACGTATAATATGATGTGTGGTCGGAAAAAGAATACGCTAAACAGGATCCGGACCAGCCGCACCACCCAGTGACGTGAATGACTTGTTCATTTGGTATCATCTGTGGTTGGAAATACCCAGCCCGTCAGTAGGATTATGTTATGCGTGCGCCGGATTCGCAAAGCCAATTTATGGCACATCCATCAGAACATCCAGGATAATCAAAGCAAACGGTCAGAGTAAGAAGCGAATGGCGAGCTGGATTAAATTGAAAAAGAGAACCATGGACAGTGATGAAAAATAGGTCGTGTTGGGATAAACAAACCGTACCTAATCGATTGGAGCTGCTTTCATAGTGTTCCCCCACTAAAGTTGGCTGGCTCATACTATAATGAGTGCTACTAACTAAAAAAGGGAAATATCACCACGGTAGTTTTCCAGAGGATCTGTAGGAAGGCTAAAGCGAGCAATGATATTTTTGCACTGAATTCACTTTTGTTATCGCGGAAGAAACTGCTCCCTTTGAAGGGCATTTGGCTTCTTTTTCGAGCGATTTGGGCTGGGAGATTGTTAATGGACCACAACAGGTAGCAGTATCGTGACCGCTTAACAGTTCAAAAACGGCGTTGGTGATTAGGCGAAGAAAACGATGGTCTATAGAATATGCATTCCTAGAAGTCAACATTGCTGTAACTGTAGTTACAGATAGAAAGACTAAAGAGTAGGTATTGGTAAGGTCGTGTCGGGATGGGACGCAATGTCTTGGTGATGCTGAGCAACAACTCAATGTTAACAAGATAAGTTGAAACATTTGGGCAAGAAAAGGAAAAAATGGCATCTAACAGTAAAGATCCAACAACAGGCTAATCGGATGGTTCACATATATTCACACAGTATACGAAATTCTAAGGAATATCGTTTGAAGGACATTAGTAATTACAGGGAAGTGATATGAAACCAAAATAGTTGAACATTGAAATTATATTTTAAAAGGAAGGCGCCTCCCAACGGGCTCACCAACATACTCTGTTTGGCTTTATATCGGAACGCCTTTGTTTGAACTATTCAGTAATTTGTTATACGAGCAGTTTCATGATAGAGTAAATTCGCAATGCTTACAAACATTCACGTGTCTTCACACACTAATTTGTCACTTTTCCCTGGCAAACACGAAGAGAAATAAGGCGTATAAAGAGGTAGCGAAGGAATTTTACACAAAACCGTGCAGGATGGATGGTTGGAATAGAAAAAAGACCTAGGGAGTAAAAGCATATTTACGCCATACCGTGCAAATATCCGATCGCTGCTTGGAAAACTAGAAGATTTCAAAACTGCAATAAATTGTTCTGATTATTTTTAATTGGGCATTATTATGCTGCAAGAAATCTGGCTTCACGCCCACATTATCGTGTTGACCATCTGCGGAAACATAGAAAGTGAAATGCTGATATTATCACCCACAACAACAATCCATGGTACAAATCGAGGAAAACCACATTTGGTTACAGCTGTTTGATAGCGAAATGCGAAAAAATAACTGAACGGCTACCGTTCAGTTTCGCTAGCTAATGTACAGAGTAACCCGAGCTATCGAACTCATGAAGCTGAAGACTTTTATGGCGGCTTTACAGCTACCGTCCTTCAATCCCTGAAGACCACCATTTACATATTTGCTGAGGAGATCAAGTTTTCCTGCAGTGGCATAAAAATTCAAAATTTTGTAAAGAAAGTGTAAAATTTTGCAAAACCCTGTATGATTCGTCAGCTGCTCTGAGCCAATCCTCTGACCTCAAGTGTGTTCCCATTGGCCGGGTGCTAGGGTTTAGTGCATAAGTCGTGAAGTGAGCCCGCTGATTAGGTGAGACTTGTGAATGAACCCCGAGCTACTATGCGCCCCCCCTCACGTCCGAAACGCTGGATCACAATTGGTCTGAGAGCAATGAATGGCCCGAACATAAGCGCACGACTAAATGGATCTTTCATTCCAGCGTGATCAACATGCCTTCTCGTGTTCGACAGAGTATCTCGTCACACATTCGTGACCGATTTCTGGATGCCTTCGTCAACGGTGACGACTGGTAGCTCATGGCAACCGTGAACAATGTGAACTATCAAACTGCCCGCTCCTGGATTCGTCGGTCACTTGATCACAAGCCGGATACTACGCAGGTGCGCTGTCGGAGGAAGAGATTGATGACTTCCTGGAGTGGATCGCGAACGACGCAACTCTAACACTACACGAAATTCGAGTAAGATAAGGACATTTCAAGATAAGAACATTTCAAAGTCTACAATCGCATGACACCTGGATGGCCATTTGATGACTATGAAGAACACCTATCAGACTCCAAATGAACAACGATCGAACCAAAGCGATACGAAAGGAGTTTGTTCAAGAGTTTCTCGAACTTGAAAGGTAGGGGAAGTTCTTCATATGGATCAACGAAACAAACTTCAACGTTTACTGCAAACGTACTCCTGGTCGGGCACCCAGAGGAGTGAGGGCTGTGTCAAAGTAGCCAACAGTAGAGGCCTGAATTTGCATATCATCGGTGTACTCAAAATGGATGGAAACGTTTCGATGACTACTCAGAGAGGCTCATTCACTAGCCCCCTATCCCTCGAATGGCTGCGAGGCATTTTAGACAAGCTGAAGCGGGAAGTGAAGCTCCGGCAGGTGGTCGTAGTGTGTGACAATGCACCGTGTCACACACGTTTGGAAGCACTTGCGTCAGTCGAAGGATACGAAGGGGTTGCCATTCTGAGATTGGGCCCATACTCCCCGTTCATCAATCCCATCGAAAATGTTTGGCAGGTGGTGAAGGCCCAAGTGAAAAATGAAATGCGAATGCAGTACGATGAACCTCGTGACGCAAATGGAATGGAGTTTGCATTTTCTGGAACGCATTGCCAGAACAGTAACCAGTGAGATCAGTGTTGCGGGATGTGGTAATGCGATTCGACACATCTGTGTACATTTTCCTGATTGTTTGAACAAATGACGTACTTTGATTACATTTCCGGATCATCACTTTAGACACCTGGTTGTATAGCGTACACCACTAAGAGCGGGTAGGGACACGAAGAAAGTCAAAGTCTCGACGAAATATGTATGCACGTACATATGGTTATACATGCGTATGGAGATTGCAGCGATGTCTGATGTTCAGCGTTAGGCAATGACATGGGACTGGCTTCCAATGAGACATGTGCGAGTGATATTTGTAGTGTCGTCCACTTCGTACTGGTGTGCGCCGCGCGTTACTCGTTCATGAATAATAACCTTAGACAATGCAGATACGGTCTCAGAATTCCGAAAATTAGAACGTCTGGAAAGTGAATTGCCGAAATACTGAGAGTTATCGAAAGGCATCAACAAATCCACACGGGATTCATGCAGCAAAATCATTGATATGCAACTCCTTGCGCGGTCAGTAAGCCACCGGTAAGTGGACGAGTGTTATGTTTACGTTATTGTGATGTCGGGTCAGAGTGCAGTTTATACGCTGCTAGAAATAGCCAGTTCTGCATTCGGGGGAACACTGTGGCGCCCAGAGCAAATAGTGCGTGTGGTCGCGTCGCATAACCGGTTTCGCTGCCGCGTTGTAGTACAACCGCACGAGCTTGAGAAATGGATTCAGACCTAAATACGGATGCATGGCGCTCAAGTATGATTTCTCGCGTATCACTGTTGGCGTTTGGTAAGCCGGTGGTTAAGGATTTTGATAAGGACGTAGCAGACTTGACCGCCATGAGTCGAAGTTGGGGTCCTTGATCGAGTGCCTAGCACGTAAAACCAGCGCGGGCGAATGGACGCCGATTTGCCGCGTGGCATGATGATCAATGCGAACTGTCCGAGCACATAGGGAATGCACAACTTACGTTTACCACGACCTCAAGGGAAATATTTCCGGCAAGATCACCGATAGATTAGCAGCAGTTGTGTAGCCACTGGTTATGCCACTCGGGGCAGTCGTTTGTTGTTCGCACCTCTGCCTGTAGTTAGTTGCGTAACCCACCACATCTGAGAACAGTAGTTCAATAGGGCGTCTCATAGAACAACAATAACAATAAGCGAAACATTTTAGAGGGCAGTTGTAAGTATTGGCATTTGTTAATTGTTACCATGCTCGTGCACAAAATTTGCAGACACAGGTGGCGCGAAAACTACCAATAGCCCCAATCGAAATTCGGTCCATCGACTAGGTCCCTTCTTTATGGAGACAGTGGCCAAGTTCGTGGACGTTTTCGGGTTCATAGGTGACCGAAGATAGTTCTGTACAAGCTTCGGTGTTGAGAAGGAGCGCTCACCGATGGCAATAATGATATATCGGGTAAGAAAGGTTCGCAACAAGATACCAATTTGTGGTGCGAATTCGCCGCGGTGATATTTACGCATGCAGCTCAAAAGCTTTAAATGTCCATTGAACTTTTCCTTTCACAAAATAGTAACCTTTTTCTCTCGGCGAATAATGCCGCCTCTATATTTTCCCTAACGTAGCTAAGCCGACAAGCATAGTTATGATCCAACCGAATATATGACGGATTCGACACTCCATGAGTTTCTGCAATTCAGAGCGGTCTTTAGGATGCATTATCATGTTAGCTGCCTCCATTGTGAGCGAACTGCCACACTGACCTCATTGTCACAAACGATATCTGTGCCTTACACTGTTTGGCGGTATTTTGCACTTGTGCGACTGACAATGACATGTAACACAAATGAACCATGAATCCAACGCTGATCGA